CTGATGGGAGCTGCATTGTAAGAAACACCTCGAGGGCCATACTTTGCCCACTCCTGTGCCATTTATTTAATTTATATCCAGCCTTTCTCCCAGTTTGGGAGCAAAGGTGACCTATACAGAAACTGGAAAAAAAGTGCAGCTAAACCCTTTTTGATGTTGTTGTTATCCACCCTCAAGTCGATCTTGGTCCATGGCGATCTGCAGATGAACATCTCCAAGATTCCCTGTTCTCCACTGCTCTGCTCAGTTCCCGCAAATTCATATCCATTACCTCTTTTATAGAGTTCATCCATCTAGCATGTGGCGTTCCTCTCTTTCTGCTTCCCTCCACCTTTCCTAGCATTATTGTTTTCTCCAATGAGTCATGCCTTCTCATGATGTAGCCAAAGTACGACAGTGTCTTGATGTAGGGAATTAGTCATCTTTGCTTCCAGAGATTTCTGGTTTGATCTGTTCTAGCACCATGTGATCACAATGTTTTTTAAACTCTGAGGCTGAGAGAGTCTAACGACTAGATAGCTATTTCTCTATGAAGACTAAGAAATTCGGTGGTCCTCCAGATATTGTTGAAATACTGCTCCCAGCATTCCTCTCCACTGCCTCTGGTAGCTGTGACTGATGAGAACTGCAGTCCAACAACATCTGGGGGAGCCACCTGATGCTTTCTCCTGGACTACAGTATACAACTGCCAACTTTTGTTTTCCTGGCAGGGCTCTGTGCTAGATTGTACAGGTACAAGAGACTTGCCAGGGAAAAAAGAAGTTTAGCACTACTAATCAGGTTGTTGTTTTGAGAATCTAAGGTACATGAATCCCTTGCTCCCTTCCCCCTGTTCCAGCTCCACATTATCCTATTATGAGATTACTCATTGTGACTGGTTAAACCTCTCTTCTTCCTTGTCACTAGTTTATATAAACCTGCCAGTCACATGGGTTATGAGGGGACATACACAGACCAGGTTGAATTTGCCTACAGTTACTATAGGCAAGGCAACACCACAGGGTCAAAGCCTTCTAATAATATCTTGCTGTTCTTTAACAGATAAAGTTGCACCAATTCCAGCAGGAATGACTGATGGTCATCTCCTATTTCTCTGTAATGCCACTTCACTGTTTGCTCATGATCCTCCCACACAAGAAAGTCCCCTTTCTTTGCTTGAGATGTGAACTAGATAGTAGCTAGATTCATCCAACAGCATCTGCCTCCCCAAAAAGAACACAAAGCTAATGGAGTCCTCAGGTGTACAGTTCATGCCATGGTTGTTACTGGGATACCTTTGAAAACAGGTGAACTACACTGATACAACTGCGTGAGGCAGTGTAGCACATTGATCTTATCTATCACCTGTAATACTATTTCTTTAATCTCACTCATTGGGAAGGTACATCAAAAATATTTTAATAAAATTAAAGAAAGAACAAAGCTGTTATAATTCTTTTTTTCCTTCATTTGTTCTTTTTGTTCTTTTCTTTCTTTTTTGAACGTTTTTATTTTTGAAGATAACATAAAATGAAGTGTTAAGGAGGACAACAATGATTGCAGATAATCCAGTGAGGACAAGTGAGAAGTAGGTGTGATTAGTAAAATGAAAGAAGAGGTAGTAAAGAGGGGATGGAAGGTTAGTAAGTGGTAGAAGGTGTGCGAATGTAGTAAGAGATGAGTAGAAAGTGTT